TCATCTTTCATTTTCTTACAACATAAAAGAAAAACTTTGATATTTAAAGAAATTTATTTTGCCAAAGTTTAATCAAACATGTCTAGCTGATACTTTACTTTTAACGCAAGTAACAAGATATATAAATCGCTAAATGAGTGGTTTTAAAAGAGTAACTATTGTATGTGGTTATATCTCAGGCAGTGGTGTATAGTCTTGGGAGACATGATGTGATGGTGATACTAGACAACCACAAGACGGTACCAGGATGGTGCTGCAGCAACAATGACCCGGATGCCTTCTTCGGGGACCCAAAATTCGATCCGGATCAATGGATATTAGGCCTCAGAAAAATGGCCACCATTTTTCAAAACGTCAAGAACGTTGTAGGCATGAGCCTTAGAAATGAGCTTAGAGGTGCCAAAGAGGACCCAAAAGATTGGTACAAGTAAGTATATATAAAAATTCAGTACCAGACTATATACCTACTTATAACTCTACTGCAAGAAATCTACCAATAATATTGTGTATATATAGGTACATGCAAAAAGGAGCTGAAGCAGTTCATACATCAAACCCTAATGTATTGGTTATACTTTCCGGCCTTGACTTTGATGCGGACTTGTCTTTTCTGAAAAACCATCAAGTGAATCTGAGTTTTAAGAACAAACTCGTTTTCGAACTCCATTGGTATGCATTCACCAACGATGCACCGTGGAAATCAAACAATGTCAACGATTTTTGCGCTCATATGTTCGCTCACGAGCGGCGTAACGGTGGCTTCCTCCTTGAAAAAGGGTTTCCTTTGTTCTTGAGTGAGTTTGGAACCGATTTGAGAGGTGGAGATTTCCAAGGAAACAGGTAACAAACATTAGATCTCGGGCTATGCTGATCAATTCTTGTAGTGATCATTAGACTAAAAAGTCAAAACGTTACATAGTTTGGGTCTTTACTTTGGCATTTGAACCAGGTACATGAATTGTATGTTGGCTTGGGCCGCAGAGAAAGATATCGACTGGGCGGTTTGGGCGCTAACCGGAGATTACTACTTAAGAGAAGGCAAACGCAATGTAGTTGAAGCTTACGGTATGTTAGATTCTAATTGGCACGATGCTCGAAACTCTTCCTACCTCCAAAGACTCTCAGTCATTCAACCACCACACAAAGGTATATACATATATACATGATCAAATCAAGAACTCTACTATTATTAATATAAAATTTGATAAGATATTTGATGAATAATTTCTTTATAGGACCTGGTTTGAGGCATAACCACCACAAGAAAATCTTCCATCCGTTAACCGGATTATGCATCGTGAGAAAAAGTTTGTGTCATGACTCAGAGCTAGTATTGGGTCCATGCACCAAGGAGGAACCATGGAGCTACAATCATCATGGCACACTTATGATCAAAACTCACAAATCAATTTGTGTAGAAGGTGGTAAAGTTGCGGGAGAAGTGGTTAAACTCGGAAAAGAATGTTCGAAAATCGAAAGAATCTCTGCCTCGAAGATGCATTTGTCTTTGAAGGACAAAAATGGCTCGTTGCTTTGCCTAGACGTTGATTCGAAGAACAACGTTGTTTGGAGTCTTTGCAAGTGTTTGACAGGTGATGCGACATGTGAACCGGAAAGCCAATGGTTCCAGATTTTTTAATTAGTTAGTTTGATTATTTTTTTGCTCATTATCGTAATAAAAAAATGCTACTTAACGCGAGTGACGAAACCATACGCGCACTAATAGCGCGTCACACCACGCACCAAAAATTAGTCCACCTATAAAATTTGAAGGCAAAACGACACCGTTTGGTCACCAACGTCAATTTCCTTCACAGTAACCAAGTCTAGAAGACTAGAACTTATCACTAATCTTTCAAGTTTTAACTACATCCTCAAGCTGCAAAGTTATTTGGATCACTAAATTTAGAAGAAAAAAAACCTATCTTTTTGTTCCATTTACCGAGTATTCAAATCGAATTCCCCATTTCCTCTCCAGTTCTCTTGTGCACCGGTTTCTCCATTTGCATTTTCTTCATCATTCAAGAAATCTTCTAATGGTTCCTTCTCCTCTCTCTGGGCACTGTTATTGCTATTGTTATTCCCCCATCCAT